ATGCACAGTTTCGCAGACTAGATGATTGCCATGGCGGCGTCGACTGAGCCTAGGAATGGTGAGAGTGTTAACCAGCCGATCGTTCCTCTGACTTTGAACGTAAAAGTCCGGCGCAACGTCCTCATAGGTGAAAACCTCGCGCCCGAAGAAGAGATTGTCCACGTCAGAGTTTGGTGGACAGTGGGGGGCGGAGGGGATCGGAGGCAGTAGTCGCGCTGTGGGATCAGTGGAGGAGTTTGGGGACGGTATGTACCAGCGCCACAGCAGGCCCCCCACTGGCTTACCCGGTGGAGAGGCCTCACACACCACCTTGAGTTTTTTGCCTTCTATGAGGTGGTCTGCGTTTGCGTCACTAAAGTTCATCGATGGGGGCCCCGGGGGTACTAATATGTAGACAAAACATAGGTTTTAGGCAAATGGAAAGTGTTTCGTCTCAGCATCAGACACTTTTATATTATGAACTTTTAAAACAAAGTAAACATGAGTACAAATAATACAAATAACTATAAGTTATTATCATAACAATGGTTCGATAGCCTTTTTACTACTAAATGGCAGGTATAAATTAATATATTGTTACAGAAAATCATAATGAAATAAATACAGAAGAGTCGTTAAGTGAACCATTCAACAACGCATGAAATATTCCATTGCGAGAGTTGTATCTAAATTCCTCAGCCTTTACATCGAAAAGGGGGGAGTAGTGGGTTAACTGTCAGGTCAAGAGGGTATCTTTGCGCTCATTTTGAACAATACAAAGTTATATTGAGGCACCAAACTCATTGGCTGATCGCACTCGTTAGACTTACCTCAAGTTTGCTCCAGGAAAGTAATTGTCTCCGGGGTCACACGTGAGAATGCAGTCTCTAACCGTTAATACAGGTGGCTTCGCGCAAATACCAGGAGGCGTAACATTTTTCTGTCCTTCAACCGAGCCTTCACTCTAACCCTCACCCTAATACTAGTCTTAATTTTAATCTCACTAGAACTTCACGAATAGGCCCCAAAATAGAGGGATTCCTATTCTCGTGTCATTTGGTCACTTGCGTCTTTGAGAGGTTTTCTTTTAGCCCTGACAAAATAGCCGAACAAAACTTTATTAAACTCGCTACTGGAGTCAGAACTAATATAGATAGTTCCGAGTTATAAAGCGCTTGACGCAAATTCGTGGTTTGCTGTTTACTTCCATTCCAGTGCACTCATACTGATTGAGTTTCGCATTTCCATACTCGACATCGTAAGACAATCAGCAAGGGTACTGTGATTAGTTTTGCAGTCGAAAAAAAGTAGCAATCGGTCCATTCTTCAGGCCCGTCGGTGTAACACATACAATTTTCCTTGATTAATTTTAGAGTCGAAGGTTATCTTTCATAGCGATGGAGAAGTTGCCTCGATTACCTATGAGCTTTGATTCCACACTTATAGGACAAAAACAGGCTTTATGACATTTTATCTGAAAATATTGTCTCGCACTTACTTCGCTACGGTCAGTTAGGCAGATCAAGACTTTAAATAGCAATTGCTCTTCCTTTCAGGGACTGAATTGTTATGACAGGTTAACATTCTTAAGTAAAACATTTTTCGTAGTTGAAAGTAGAACGCTAGACAAGTGCGCGCATAAAAAATCCCATGTTAGCTCCCCAGCTACTACTTAAAGTCATGAAGCAGCAATAATTTTGTCGATGGCTGTTGGTTCAACTATGAGTCACATCCCTCGTTCTCATCAGTTGTCCCTGCTTGAATAGAAGATGGTAAATTATAGAACGTTACGTCCATCCTTTCTCCTCCATGCCAGTCAGTGGGTTTCTACGAAATACACAGTGCGATTTTAAGTGTATAAGCCAGTTCATCCAAATTCTCACATACCCCTGTGCTATTAGTCAGAAGAGGCCTCACGTTTAGGTAACTGGTTTAGTTATGAATGCAAACCACAGCTAGATAGCCGGTTATGGGAGAATAAAATAATTTCCTGACTGAAGTCTAAAAAGAAACATTTCCTCCGCCTATGATAAAACATGCCAGTACTGGACAGGGACGAAGTTCTTGAGAAAGCCCACTTAAAACTCCTTGAGATTGGCACGGGCCGATTTTGTATAGCATTTTAAAATTTTGCTGAAGATAAGGTTGATCTTTTTTGGGTTAAATTGCGGGCGTTAACTTAACCAACAATCAATAAAAAAACGGTGTCTTGAAACTGCTGTTCGTTCCCCACTTCCTTCTTCGTGAACCCCACCCGTCGTGCCGGAACTTGTCGGCAATGCGAAACAGTCTATAGTTCGACTAAGTGAACTTCTGACCACGAAATGCGAAACTTGGCTTTTCGAAATTGTATCGGTCTCATGAATTTTCCGTCTGACACAAGCAAGGTCAGGCTTGTTTTCATAACACACTTTTGCGAGATTAACAAACAGCACGACCACTCAAACAATCGAGAAGGTCTTTGTCTGGCACGATGGCTGAAAAGAGTACGGGGATGGTTAAACCTGATGTCCTGGATAGTCGGCCAATTGGGCGGTTGATAGTTCTTGTGCCTGTAGTGAGAGAAAGCTGAGCTTATTTGCCTCCACTCACTATGGAGATAGTGTGAGGATCTCTAGCTTCCCCTTTCCCATTACTGTTATCTCAGGGTAACATTGAGGACAAGCAGTTGTTCCGCACAAAATGGTGGCCAACAAAACCCTTATGCAATTATTGCCTACTGGATGCCTTGTTGACTTTTTGGACCTTGTTGTTTTCTGCAGCAAAATAGACGGGTGTTCGTACAACCTAACCGTTAGGCACCATTTGCATGTGCCAAGACATGCAAACTCTAGCACGGTTAAGTATATCGTGTGTAAGCGAGACGTCCTTAATTGCATTGGTGGGAAGGATGGTTGCAAGCCTCAGAACAAAAGATAGTAAAAAGTTTATGGATGAGGTTGCAGTCTAGGATTCTGAATTTGATTCTGAATACAAAAATTAACTCAGATAAACCTTTTTATTTCGATGATAACGTCTTCCTGTCTCAAGTTTATAGGCTCTTTACCATATTTCCAGGCATGCAAGCTCTGAGGTTCGAGTTGAAACAAATAATTGTGAAATACTATGTTCCATCGGTAGCAATTGGGATTATTCATAGTTGCACTGGGTATCATGAAGCAATATGCAGTTCTTACATATCTGCAATTGCAATGCGCTTGGTTGACCTCAAAACCTGGGCCGCAATTAGCTTCAACCTTGGACATCACTGGCTGATGACGGCTTAGAAGTCACAACTTGCAGTTTAGTATCCATTTTAAGAATCTTTCAAAACTTCAAGTTATTGATATTTGGTCGTTATGTGATCGACTTTGGGCTGTGAATACTCTCAGATAGAATACAATGTTACATTGGTTGACTTTATATCATCGATCGCATTCGATCTCATGGAATGCTGACCAACTTTTAATTCAATTTTAAACTGCATTTTGATTAGGGAGAATTACCTTAATGGTACTGTAATAGTAATCACTATGCCATATAAGCTCAAGATATTTCACACACAATAGGATGCCGACTTTTGAATGCATGCCACTTTGTCCGCCTGTGCAAGCCGCATTCGCTGAAAATTACTTCCTAAGTATTAGACATTTTCATTATTGATCTTTGAAGCTCTTATAAATTCAAACCTATTTGTTTACAAAACGAAAATAATCTCCCTTACACTCTTTGGCAACGAATTCCGTCTCGTTTAAAGGTAATAAGCATGAACAGGATATATTGAGGTGCTATATTGGATTTTAAATTCCCTAATAATTTGGAGTCGTCGCATGTGCAGTCTGCAAGCAGTATGCTCTCCATGAAAGTAAAATCGAACATTCAGGAAGATGCCGATAGGGCAAGCCAGGGAAGAGTTCCGCATACTAGTCATAGATTTGTCCTTGTCAAGTTGAAGGGTGGAAGGATTGATGTTATTGCGTTGAAAGTTGATTCAATGCGAACAACAAAACAGAGGGGACAATTACTATCACCCCGATCCCACCCAGGAGTGCTGTGTAAAACTTGTCAGTTAGTGATAGTGCTGAAAATTCGATTCCCGGGTGGTAGATCAGAAGAAAGAGGAGCGATCACCGAGAGAGGTTTATTATAAGCCTGACGTTTCGGGTAGTAGTCTCGTCTACCAATGAGCCAATGTATCCATTCTCTGAAGATGGGTAA